ATAATAATAATAATAATTAGAATAATTAAATACTTATGAATAAAAAAAACCAGAACAACACATTTTTTGTGCTGCGTTTACAATATTATTATTATTAGGTAGTGAAAACAATCGATATAAGCTTATTTTTTTTTTTTTAATATAAATATAACATTGCAGTCAGTTGTCCGCAGTGAACTAATCTTCAAAAATTCGTAATAGATGAGTTTTTTTTTTATTATTTACTCGAATGTTTTTTTAAAAACAATTTTCTGTAATTTAAATACTCTAGTAGTGTTTACATTTTTATTTTCAGAATCGATTGCGACTGCCCGTATTAAACATTACATTTGTATAATAATCGTACGCGGATAACTAACGCGTATATACAGTGTGATTCTTTTATAATGAACCAGTGGTTATAAACTATCGACGGAATTCTCTTAAAATTGAAAATAACTAACCGTTTTCGGAATTCTCAATTCGGAAACAAGGAAAAACTAAGCAAAAAATACATAAAACAAGTTTAAAAAATTTTAATATTCGAGCAGACTAAAACCGGGTACGGAGCCATACTCGAAGTATTATTATGATTTATTATAAAATTTCGTACCAACTAAAAAAAAAAAATGTATGCAACCGACGTGTGGAGGGGAGCATAAAGTCGACTTCGTATCGCATTATTTGTCGTTCACGTGACACTTTTGTAAATTAAAATAAATAATTCGATTTTTTTTTTTCGAAATTATATAATTATTTTTACCATTTTCCATTATAAGTCCTCTTATTATATTCACCAACAACTCTTTAATAAATCCAAAAAAAAACCTCTCTCACACGCTTTGAACGTATTTATGGGCACGCCGCAATAAAAAATATAGTTTTAGAATAAAATATTATATTTTATAATAATATACTCGTATATTTGCGGACTAAAAGTTGGCGAAAGCTCCATCTCTTGCCGGTGGAGGGAGGGGAGGTGGAGGAAAGGCGTTTGTCAGATTTAAGTACGCGCGTTTTGGATATTAAGTACCCCCTCCCTCCGTCCGTGTCATTTGACAAAGTTTCTGTGAAATTATAGATAACGTTTGCTGCACAACAATCGGAAAGTTTACAGACAAAAACGAAAACCGTCGACGTTACAAAACCAGAATCTATAGTAAAACAAAAAATCTTTAGTCGTTCCGAATTTTGTATATTTTCATTTAGAATTCAGAGAAAATATTATTTGCTTTTTTACAGCGAAATTACGCATCAAAAAATCTAATAAAAATGGCAAAATAAAATAAAATATCTAATACTTTTCATTTTGATAATAAATCTTTCTGTTACGTTAATCGAATTATTATTTTTATGATAAAAACAAGATGTCTTGAAATAATATTTTGAACTTATTTCAGAGGTGGCTCGTAAGTCTCATTGTAAATGATGTTGTTGTAAGATAAATATGTTGAAAACTGCAAAGGGGTGATAATATATCTACACAGAAAGATAAAAAGTTAGATTTTAGTCTTCAATTATAAGTAATTAATTTGAAAATGTGAAAACATTTTGTGGAAGTAGATATTTTTTCTGATACTGATTTTTAACTCTAGGTTTTTTTTTTGATTTGAATTTGATGAATTTGAAAGAAATTCATTTTAAAATTTTATATTCTGAACAGAGTGAGGAATGTATTGGTTTTACAATGATGTTTATTGTTTCCTTTTGTGAGCAACTTTTCTACCAACAATTTTTCTCCGATTTCCAAGTACCATATAGCACTTTTTCTGAAAGTAAACCTGGAGTGGTACTTTAAGGAGGTAATTTTTTTGAAATTCCCAGGAGTTTTCCCAATAAATTGGTGAAAACGGGAAAATGTACGAAATATATAATTTTCCAACCGTAAGTATTACGACCTTTTAAAACATGTATGACCGAACTCCACTCAGAATTATTTAACATTAGCAAATACAACAGTGGCCCACCTACCGTGCGAATTATGTCCTTATTTTTTTTAAAGATGACATTTTTAATAAACTAAGTATAATTATCGTACAAATAATAGTTAAGAATGTTTATATGGTATAGCCTTACTAGCCAGGCAAATCACCACTGCTTTTTCTTATATAAAATATGACTATATACATAAACTGTATAAAATATATTCAGAAATTTAACAAACAACTGTATGATCCAAGCCTCCCATCAAATTTATTATAATTTTCACATACACTTGTATGCAAATACATAATATTATATATACTAAATACACTAGAAAATAAGTTTAGAACTAAAAACTAAAGGTAAAAATTGTTCATAAGACAAAGTTATAAAAAAATGACAACAATTTATTCAATCCTACCTTCCCCGAGACCTGAGAATTATAAGTACCAAATTGGTGGATTTGAATGGCCGAAAAACGTGTGAAATCGATAAAAAAATGTACCTATAAAAAAAATCTCAGAAAAACTTTTTATTATTTTATTACAAGAGAAACTTACGACAACTTTTTCACTCCCTTTTATCATTCGTATTCTTATTTACTACTCGTACAGGACCGACGCAAAAGTCGAGTTCAACTTGGAAATTCAATTATTATTTAAGTTTTCCGTTTTGTAAACAACGCCCGTTTTATTATAATTGGCTAAATATTTTATCTCATTAATAAAACGAATTTTAAGATTTAAGACGGTGTTATGATAAGTAGAGGTAATATTATTTTTACATAAATAAAAGTGAGAGAGACGATAAAACATTGTATTCGAAAAACGATGTCGAGTATAAAATTTTTTTTTTTTCTTTGGGTTTTTGCGATATTAAACGGAATATTACAATTAAAACGTTTTGAAAATATAATCTTACGCGCGTTTTTTCTAAAACGACGAAATTGTCAAAAACAACGTTATGTTCTCTTCAAATCGCCATTGAAATAACAAGCGTAAACTTTGATTTTTAATCGGCGTTTTAAAGATTTATATAAAAGACTAATCACGGTCGGTTATCAGCCATAAACTTTGCAGTTAATGTAAATTAGATAAAATCTTTTGATCGTTTTGGCGAAATCGGTCCTTAGATTCCCTCTGTGACAATGCAAAGTTTTTGATTAAAAAATACAAAAGAAAAATAAAATAAAAACGTACAATTTTAATCATCTATTCCAGTGAACGAAATGCTTTATTTTACATCATTCTCCTCATCCCCCGTGACCTTTTTTTTCTGACGTCACGTTTCGAGGTCTAATGTTTCTAACTTCCGTCAATATTAATAATATAGATATTATGTAATGTGAATGAAACGACTTTTAGAAAGTTATTTGTACTTCACGACGGAACCTGTAGTATTTTCCGAAACGGCAAAAATTTACCATATATTAACAGTCAAAACGTACATTGCTGAGACATACCGAGTCTTTAAATTTTGTATTTTTGAAAAAAACAAAAACATTATTTTCGTTTTTGGTTCGAATTAAGCGCTTGGCGATGGTGCGTGTTTTAAGCTCTAACTTGGTTTAAAGTCACCTAACCTAATCTACATTATGATCCTAACATGTATTGATCAAACACGCAAGCGTCGGTTCGTGACATTTTCCATCCGATTTGTCGAGAAAACCTATTTCGATAATGAATTGTCGCTGTCCATTTTTCGAACAGAAAATATCGACATTTTCGAATTTCCTATTGAAAACATTTGAAACTCACGGAAGGGCTCTCAGTTTGAATCCGATGTAAATATATTATTCGAACGTTACCGCCCCCCGAACCGATTAAAAATTATTAATTAAAAGCGTTCGTATAATAAATTCGTTTTCGCCCTATAATGAAAAAAAAAAAAAAATAAATAAATACATAAGATTTATCGAGGTAAAAATATTAATACAGTTTATTAATTTTTATTTGACATATAATTAATTAAAAAATATTCAAACGGGCAACGGAGCGGCGCTGGCGGTTCAATCGGCCAGCGACTACGCATTAACAATTTATAACTGCTGCGCAATAATCAATAATAAATTATTGTAACTACTGTAATGTTTTATCGGTAATCCGCAAATTAAATCGCGAAAGATTATGGGAGGGGAAAGGGGTGGTAAATCATATTTTGAACTTTTGTTACCGCGCGTCCGTATTATCGACAACGTCGCTTTCAAAACCACCAGACAAAACCGACAACGATGGGTCGCCACCACTCTACAAAGCTAGCAGCCGCAGTCGCGTTGAGCAAATCGGAGATGAAAAACCTTCGAACACACGAAAACCTAATAATCAAAAAGATGTATTGACCGGAAATCGGAAAAAACCCCGACAACAGACTTCGCACCAAAGGTGCCTATAATAGGCCGTCGTTGTATTACACGCGGGAAGTTTGAAAGATAAAGGATGTGCGAGGTAATTAAATCTTTATACCGAAAACAACGATAAACCATTGCGTTAGAAAAAAAAAAAAAAACGATTCCACGCTCGGTAATCGGGTTAAAAGGCTAAAGTCGTGTTCCCCCCTCTCCCCCGTTGTGCGTATTCGCGGTACCCAGAGATCAACCAAAAATAAAACCAATGTATTTTCGTTTTTTTTTTCAGTATTTTCTTTTTTTAAAAAATTGTTACCATATCTGTTGAGTATCTAGAAAAATGTTTCAAACAAATTATTACCGATTGAACGTTCCGCGCCTTTTAAGTTACTGCGTGAATAAAATCGGGGCGTTTCACTCGCCAAAGAAGTGTTTTATTAGAAAAAGAAACTCGCCTACAACTCAGTAAAATAAACCCGAGAGCTTCATATCACGTTTACATAAAAATCGTATTTTCGTTGCTCCGCTAATCAGAATTTGGGAAAAAACACCGATTGCTTAAATATTTGTAAAAAAATAATAAAAATAATATCGCTGGAAGAAAATAAAACTCGACTTAATCGTGGCGTGCCATTTTTATTCCTTACGGCTATCGTGGCAATTGATTTGATTGGCACACTGACAACCGGAATTCCAAACCCATTTTTAACGAACCTATATTATATACAAAATATTTTTATACTGGTTAGGTTTTTCATCTAGCGAAGCCGCGGTCAAGGGTTCCGGCTAGCATCAGGTTCTGGGTCGGTTCTCGGTGGTTTCTTAGAGGGCTCGAGCGGACTGCTTTCCCTCTCCCGGACTTTTTAGATGGCACAGGCATCTCCGCGGCGCTGAATACGAGTAGCGGCGCGGACTTCTCCGCGTCGTGAAGCCAACATGTACGAATTTCCGTCGGTCGGGCTAGTGTCGGAACTTCCCCGCCGAAGTTGTGTCCGGCTGGAGATCGATACTCCGGGCTCGTCTCTCCGCGTTGCCGTTCGCGGTCTTCTCGCGTCCCGGCAACGGAGATTGTGCTATCACGCGCGCTTCGGTAGACACCTGACCGCCGCCGGTGCTCACTGATCATCCGCTCTGACGGTGGCCGGGCGTCAGGATACGTCTAACTTTCGACAACAACGAAAAGTAGTCCGGGCGGTCTTCGGAGACCCGGCGTCGACCCGCTCGCGGCGCCGAACGGAGACCCGAGTGTCGGCCGCGGTTTCGTGCCGCGTTCGGTGCCTCGCGGTCGGATTCGGAGGAGCTTATGAGTTTCGTCGGGTGTTGGTCGATTACCGCTAATTAATCTATAATTGTGAAAATACTCGTCTAAACGCCGAACGCTGGTGAAATACAAACTAAATTACGATACGCGTTAGAATTGCCGTAAAACAGTGTAACGGTCGTTAAGCGACCCTTCCGAAAAACTCGACCGCACGCGCGTCGCGGAATCCGCGTTGACGTTCCAACGGAATTATTTACGCCTGGCGCCTTGGCCGCGCAAAAAGAAAACTAAAAACGAACGGACGTCTACGACGCGTTTTAGCCGATTGCCGATGTCGTTCCGTACGGTTCCGTCGGCGACGCGTTTTCGGCGTCCGGTTCCGGGCAGTGTGCGCGCGACAAAAGCCCGTGTGCGGGTATTCGACGGAAACCGTCGCGTTTCCCCGTACCGTCAACAACGACCGCGGCGCGGTTCCCTTGCGGACGGGACGCGACGCGTCCAAACGGCCGCCCGCGCGGTTGCGGTTGCCTGATGTCCCGCCTCGTCCGACGCGCGCACGGCGGCGGCGTGAATAAAACATGAAACGCGAAGATGGATTGCGCTCGCCGCCGTCGGCCGCGGTAAGTGCGCCATTCGGACGTGAACAATGGCCGTCCGCGGATCGGACTCCGCGCCGGAGATTGATTACCGGCCGCGGGCCGGACGTACGGACTTGAATTAACGAATTCGCGGGCCGGGCGAATGTGTCTTGATTTGCCCCGACCGCGGTACGACGTTATACGCCGCGGGTCCGGGCGAATTAAAACCCGAGCGAACAAACGGACCGTTGTCACGAGAGCCGCACTCGGGAGGGGGGGGGGCAATAACAAAATCGGCCACCACCCCTCCAGACCCCCTTAAAACGTCTAATTATCGCATCTCTTTAAATCTCTCCCGGTAAAATTCCGCCGATATTGTTTCAATACGGCACAGGACTTTAATACGCGTGATTCTTAATTCTTGGGTTCATTCAGCCTCCGGCAGCCTATGGGATGTACAACTACGCCTCGGTCGTTCGCCGCGTTTCCGGGTCTGTTCACCGTTCGTCCTCGGCCTTTACTTGTAAGGTGTAAAAACGAAAATATAATAACATGCGTGTCAATTACTTTAGTATTTCTTTTTCATTTTTTTTTTTCTGCGCGTCCGGAACGGAAAGAAAAATTATTTTCGTTTAAAACCAAATATTTTCAATAACGCATTAAGTATAATAATAAACAACCGAAGTTATAATTTATTAAGTACCTCTATGTACGACGCAAACATTCCGGTGTAGTTTATCGGTGTTCGATAATAAAGTTCGAAACTTTTCTGTTTCACGCGATATTGTGTAAGGTCTCGAAATATTTTCATTGTTCACCACGCGTATTGTGTTATCTGTTTGTTTCGCCCGATTGGCTATTCAGCTATTTACAAGAACAGAAGAGGTGTATTAATAATCCGTTTAAAATAACGAAATATTTCCGTCTGGTAAATTGAACGTTTTCCAAAATACGCTAAAAATATTATTTAGATAAAAATGTATAAAAAAAAAAAAAAAAAAACGTTATAATTCACGGTTCTAATGCATTACCTAACGCAATACAGTTGGATACGCATAACAATAATTTACGGTCGTATAATTATTTTCTTCTACGCGTAGAACAAGCGAATAATAGGTATAATTTAATGACAGGCAGGATCTCATCATCGTGGCGATGTGTCTAAGCAAACCATTGATTTTTTTTTTCTGGTGTACACGACGTAATTGTTTTTATGGATTCGATTTTTTGTGATATTTAAATTTTGTGTACGATAATGGAAATAGGGAGATTCGGATTTGTACAAATATCGAATTTAGCGGAAACCGCACACGCACGTGAGACACCCTGTATATTATTGCCGTACTTTTAGTGTGATCGTCAACGAGCCAGTCATCGTACACCGTCAGCATAGTACTGCTAAGTTGTATACATTTATTTTGTTTATCTGTAGTGCCCGTCGAGATCCAAAAAGATAAATTGCCATTTTTTTTTTTTTCCTTTCAAACTGAGTTATGGCCGTGAAATGTGTTTTTCAATTTACTTACATTTTTTTATTATACTATACGTATATTATAACCAAACGTTCTTATTTCCGTATTATTTATGTGCATAACGACTCCCACTGCTATAGGAATAGTGACATAACACGGCATTTTTAATTTTCCGATTTTTATCGTCGTTGTACCGTACCTTCTGACCGTTGAAAATGTCTGAAAAAAAAAAAAAAATGTTCATATTATTCTGATATGTAACGATTATGCACACGATATACGCATTCATTTTGATACGTTGGGTAACACAATAGTAGCACACGCCCGTTTTCCTACCGTACACACATAAATTTAGAGTTGTGAATTTGTAGGAAAGTTCATTTTTTTTTGTCAGCTGATTGTGAAACGTACCTTTCTAAGTACAATGTTTGAATTATGTAACAGAAAATTAATTTACGAAATTTTTGTATTGCATTTTTTGACATTTTTAATTTTTTAAGTCATTTTTGGACTTTATAAGTCATATTTTTATTTTCCGGTATTTTTGATCGAATTCCGTCAATTAACATCTTTACACGCATATTTTTTTGTTTTACACGGGCTGTATATACGTACAATTTATGTTTTACACTAGCTGTGTACAGGTTAGGTAAAAATAAGGCAGTATTTCTTAGATTTGTTATTTATGGGCGCTCGACATATCGATATCAATAATATCAGTTATACCAAAATAAATATAAAAATTAAATTAAAAATCATTTTAAGTGCATTTTATATTTCATTTTTTGAGACTTTTAATTGATACATATTTTATTACATTTTTTGATATTTTTATTTATGTACGTTTTGTGCACTTTTAAATGTCATTTTTAAGGTTTTTCACTGAACAAGTCATAATTCACAGTCCTACATGTATTATAAACTTCCGAATTCGTGAAAAATTTCAACTATGTATCTATGTACATACAAGTACGATGCATGCGACTAACGTTCAAATTCAAATTGTATTTTAAAAAGAATTACAGGAATACATTGGAAATAAAAAAAAAATATCTAAAAATTTAACTATCTACATACCTACAATGAACATAATCAACCCTTCCCAGTAGGTTTTAAATATTTAATCAAACGCCGTATTCATTTGTACAAGTAGACTGCAGTATAATGAGAAGGAAAACGGTTTTTATTTCTTAAAATCAAAAGTTTAATAACTCGGTCTGAATGTCAATTTGTTCAGCATATATTCTATAATATCAAATACGCGGATTACAAAACGTTCAAAAATAAATTAGCATACATTGAATACTTTCTCGTCGTTAAAACTTATATTGTTGAAAATGAATAAATTATCATTTTCTGTGTAGTGCAATAATTATGAATAAAAAAAAAAAAAAAAACGCGAAACAAAAGATTAAAATTAGTCGTATGAAATGTAAAAATTGTTCAAAAATTAAATTAGAATATTGTTCTTATTTTGTAAAAACTAAACGGACGAACAGGCACGTCAAATTCTACGATTTTTATTAAAATTTGAACTTTAATAGTTCAACGAAAAATATTATTTGTTTAAAGACGCAGACGTCATAGTCATAGTAAAATCAGTACCCGCACTAAACATCACTGTTTTTGTTAAGAATCTAAAAATCACGATACACATTAAAAATTAAAATTAAAGATTTAAACTATAGGCGAACACACTGGGAAACGATAACGAACCTGAAAAATTGGCCTTATCTTCTGCTTTACTATAAAATATTTGTATTTGAAGTTACTAAAAAGGTAATATTAATTGGGAATGTATTACTAAATTTTGTAGTTCCTTATACATGTTATGTGATAATTACCTGTCTACTTAATAATGAATTAAATTTAGTTCAAATGTTTATAAATTAAAGAAAATATAAGTAAAATTATGTTAACGAAGTGGAGTTAAGTGTAGGCACTACTATTAGAGCTTATTTAAATAATACATTTTAAATGTAAATTGTCGAAATGACGAAATTGTCAAATCTCCTTGGATAATTAGAAAACAAAAAAAAAATACCAAATGTCACTACGCCAAACAATTATCATTTACTAATTGTGCGCTGAAGATTACCCGTAAAAACAATGAAGAACATCGCACCACTAGTTTTAGCAGGATAATTATTAAAACCTTAAGGGGTAGTCGACTTGCGCCTCTCTCTCCTGTAATGGTAGAAAAAAAAAATAAAAATATGTTTGATTTTACGAAATTAATTAAGAGACATATGAATTTCGAACGTATTTTATCGCGATACTCAATTACCCGGTTGGTGGATGGGTTCGGGCGGTCGGCTGACCCGCGGTACTTTTCCTCGGCAAAACGCGGCCCGGACGAAACGGCAGACCGCGCGCGTGCGCGTACAATACCGCAACGACCGTTGGGGAAATAACATCGAACAATGGAAATGCGGGCGTTACGAGCGACTTTGTAAAGTGTGCACGGGCTCTGGAACGTTTCCGCGAAAATATAATTATTGGATTTATAAATGTATCGCGAACGTTACGACGGCGCGCGGAAAGACGCGGGAGACCGCGGCCTTTGCGGAACGTGCGCCGACAGTCGACGTTGTCGTTCGTGCAAATCACGCATCGGGTAAAATCCATTTTCTATTTATAGATTCTCTTATCGTATTATTAGCGGAATCCGCGATCGTTTCGTATTATTATTACCCCCCCCCCCCCACAAATGTCCGTAATAAACATGCGGACCGTTATCGACGCGCCGCGCGTGTTACGCATAAACGCATGGCGCGTTATAACTATTTCGCCGTAAATTTTATTTTACCGTTTCGTCAACGAGCGTCAACGAGTTCGTTCTGTTCGCCGTTGTCTCACGGCGTCGTGTTGCGTGTCACTTGCGTTTTTGTCGAATTTAATATTAATGACGGGAGCTCCTAATCGAAAAAAAAAAAAATCACACCACGGAGCGAGGCGATTGGTTGGAGAAAATGATAGGGCCGTTAAAGGCAACCGAAGTATACTGTCGTTCCCGGTATCAGACAGCGGTCAAGAACCGTTTTCGGAATATAATTGTAGTGAAGAGGAAGACAATCCGCCCACTTTACCGACTCTTGGTACGGAATTGAATTTGCCCCGGATGACGTTTCACGCTCGAAGTTAATCGATAGATGCCACGATTATCCATCAGATCCATATTTATTTATTGATACCGTATCGGCACCTCGAATAATCAGAACTCTTGTTGAAATAGGGCCTTGTCAACCTGGTTTTAATAATGATGATTATGTTTTTGCAGAAAATATGTCCGGCAAACAATTTTCTTCCAACTGGTACAACAAAGATGTTAAATCAGGAACGAGCTGGAAAGGAAATTGGTTAGTATATTCCCCAAAAGCTAACGAAATGTTTTGTTTTCCTCGCTTTTTGATTCGATCTGTATCTCGGCATAGTTATCAATGGTCTAATCCTAATAAAGGTGTTTCTAATTTCCGTAAAGGATATGAAAAAGTTGTTAAACATGAAAAATGCAAGGACCACAGAGAAGTAGAAAATGAATATTTAATTTTAAAAAGTACAATTTTAAAAGACATTACTATCCAACAAAATTTAATTAAAGTTCAAAAGTCTCAAATAGAATTTAATCAAAGTGTGTTAAAACGATTAATTGGATTATCTTAATTGCTTTCAACAAATGGTCTTCCATTTCGAGGACACAGAGAGGACATTAACCAGGATACACAAAATAAAGGATTTTTTTTTGAAATATTTAAACTTGTGTCAAAATATAATGCTGTTCTAGCTAAACACTTGACCGACCCAAACCGAAATGAGACATACTTGAGTCCGAAAATTCAAACTGATATACTTAAATGTATGGCAGATAAAACATTACATACAATATTAAATGAAGTAAAACAAGTAAAATATTTTACAATTATTGTAGATTCGACCATAGATATTGGAAGAACTGATCAATTTTCTTTTAGCTTGAGGTTTGTAGACCAACCAGGAGATATCAAAGAACATTTTCTGTGTTTTGAAGAACTACATAATACAACTGCAAATGATTATTTTGACATTATAAAAAAGTTAATGGAAGAATATAAATTGGATATTTCTTTATGCCGCCGTCAAGCCTATGATGGTGCCAATACCACGTCTGGACGGTTTTCTGGCCTACAATCTAAAATAAAAAAATATATCACCATTAGCGCTATATATTCATTGTTGTGCTCATTATTTAAATTCGGTGCTTATAGATTCTAAGAGATCGTTCATCAATGCAGTTTCATATTTTGGTATTCTTGAGACATTGTATACATTTATAACTAATAGTTTACCAGGATTAAAAATATTTGAAGAAGAACAAATGAAAATTGACGGCCTAGTACTAACATTAAAACAACTTTCAGAGACAAGATGGGCAAGTGACAAACGTGCAGTAAACTCAGTATACATAAATTTGCCAGCAATTGTTACCTCATTAAAGCGAATTTCATATGGAAAACTTCTCAATATAAAACTAAAAACCATTTCAGAAGTACAAGGATTACTTTTTCAAATAATGAATTTTAAATTCGGTTTTTTATAAGTTTTGTGCAAGAATATAATTGGAAAAGTTAATATTTTATCAAATTATTTACAAAATTCTAAAATTGATTTAATAATTGCGCATAATATGGTTTCAACATTTTTTTTAGATATTTCATCCTTAAGAAATGAGGAACATTTTTTAAAAATAAAATGTAATAAAAACAATTTGGAAAATATTATCGAGTTTGCTGATGACAATTTTAAACGCAATACATATTTTGTTATTTTGGATTCATTTATAAATACATTAAAACATCGTTTTGAAGATTTTTCAAACATAGTAAAAAAATTTGAAGTACTAATCCAAAGAAAACATAGATGAAAATATTATTTCTATTCAAAATTTATCAAAATTTTATGATGTTGACGTAGATGAAGTAGATATAGAAGTGGAATACCGTTCATTTTGTTTGGTTTACCATCAGTATATAATAAAATTGAACCATAAAAACTAAATGAAGAATTGAAGTCCATGATATTCCAAAACATGGTTTCTTCTCGTTCAAATTTATATACTTTGTATAAAATATTTTATACTTTTTCAGTGAGCAGTGCAACTGCAGAAAGAAGTTTTAGCAGGCTTAAACTTCTCAAGACATACCTTCGCTCAACTATGATTGAAAACCGGCTATCAAATTTGACAATATTAAGCATAGAAAGCAATATAGCTCAAACAATAAATTTTAATAAAGTAATAAGTACATTTGCACCAATGAAAAAATATAGAAAATTATTGTAATACCATACATACTATTATTTTTTATTTTTTATAATAAAAATATAATTTTATATATGAATTATTTTAGTGTTGGATTAGAATGTATAACTAACTTTTACTGTGAAAATGAAAGCAATTATTGAAAACTAAGATAAAATAAATATACTGCAACTATATGTATGCAAATATAATAATAAATATGAATAATCTCTTTTCAAAATCTAAAATACTCAAAATTATTTAAATATTCCAGGTAAGTTTGTTAAGTGAATATCAATTTGAATGCAACAAAGAAAAAACAATTAAATCTGAATTAATTAACAATACCAAAGTTTGTGAGTAAGTTTTAAATTTTACTAAAAAATTAGTTAAGACTTTTGGCCTCTCGTAAGTGAGGCAGACTAGTACTAAAATCCTGGGTTCGACACCGTGTAGCGCCCTTTCTAAACGCAAATTTTGTCTAGTTGATACATAGAATGGATTACAAAGTAATCAAAATTTTATGCTACAACAATTTTCTCCTGTAACTATACAAAATATAGAAACAAATGTTTTTCGATTTAAAACATCTAAAGTTATTAATTTTTTCTGACTTTTTCGAGACGTATTGAAAACATTTGAAACACAAATAGGAACGTGTAATCGAAATTCGATAAACAGATGCGCTATTTGTTTAAATAAACGTCGGGGTTGACGTTTTCGATTTCCGTCAACCCGTTGACGAGATATTTCACTTTTTATTTGCTGGTAGTAGGAGAGCGTGTGTTAAAATATTATTCACTCGCGTGGTGCCGCGGCACGGCGCGCGGCGTTCGAACAGTTGGGACGAAGGCGCGAAGGAGAAGAAGACTGATCTTTGACTTCTCTCCGTTTTTAGGCACGCGATAATTAATCCGACGTGATACGTATTATTGGTTACGGCTTTACCGTACGTTAAAGTTAAATCAATAGAAAAAAAAAAAAAAAACACGCCCAAGTCAACCGAAAATTACCGTTTGCGATTCGTTTAACGGCGAGGTACACCTCGCTGGACGGTTTTAAACGGAAACAAACGACGGAAGTGGCCGGTCACTCGTCCGTTACTCCGGGGGCTTTTCTTTTACATTCTGTCTCGTCGCCCGGGGAAAAGCGCGATTGTAAGCGGGACGTCGCCGAATACGGTCGGGCGGTACGCGCGAGACCGGTCACTGGTGCGACCGAACGCCGATACGCGTATCGCATGGGCGCGAAACGCGCGCCCGGTCCGCCGATCGCGCGCGCCGAACCGCCGGCGGCGTGCGTCGCGGACGGCGACGCGAACGCTCGCGGACATCGCGAGCCCACGTCGTTGCGCGCGCGCATAAATTAATTAACGTTTTAATCCGCGAAAACGGATCCCCGGCACCCGCAGCGCGAAATGCCGGAACGGCGCATAGCTACGTGCCGGGACATATTTACCGAGGGACGGCGCGACCCGTGACCCCGGGCGCGTTACTTACAAGTCACAGGACTCGCCCGATACCCGCGATAACGTTAATCCGATATTTGTTATTGGCCGCGCGCGGAACAGCGGCCGGCGTCCGCGAAACGCCGCGTTTTTCGCATTATTTCGCGGGGATTTATTGAGGTCCGCCCGGCCGCCCGCCGTCGCGATTTCGGGACGTTCCGCGCGCGCGTATTGCGGTCACGCCGTTGCACCGCGTTCGTTTGCGATTGCCGTTGTTTATCGAGCGTACCAATACGCGGCGACGCGTCCCGCCGGAACGCGGCGCACACGAATAACTGTTTCCGCCGGACGGACGTTTGAGTTGAAATTCATCATTGGTTTCCAATCGGGGATCGTAGGTCGAGCGAAGCGCGCGTCGTGCCGGACGAACGAATTTTCGAAATTATCGAAAACGAAAACAATTACGACGGTACCCCTCCCCCCTCCCCCCCATCCGGCGTCGGGAAGGAACGCGTTCCTTACGCGGGAATACGGAGCTTGTAACGCGGTCCGTTTCGAATACGGGAAAGAGTTCCGATTTTAAAGGAACGCGGACGAACATTTCCGTTCCTCCTAAGACGAGATAAAAAAAAAAAAAAAAAAACGAAACGCCCGTTATTTTTTAATGATAATATCGTCTAGAAACGATTTAGTGCGTTGCAACTATCGCTTCGCTTCCGGTTACTAATAAATCACCACAACGGCACAATGTATCATTTTTTTACAACATTATTTAATATACAAGTTACATAATACGATGATAATTCGTCGGTGTTTTGTAAAAAGGGCGTGCGCCGCATTCAACGCATGCACGCTTTGTGTACGGTGTATTATGCGTACGAATGATTTTATTGTTTTCCGCGATAAACATCATCATTAAACATCATCTGCTTTGCTGTTTTTTTTTTTGCGCTTTCTGAAAAAAAAAAAGTGTTTTCGCAGTATCCGCCCTTTTTATAAAAAACACCGTCGATATACTTAGATAACCGTGACGTAAACGGCGTCTCGGGCCTCGGTGATGATCGTGGAAAATGGCGTGACGGTCCTTGAGGACCCCGTTCCTACCAGGTCCATTTTTAAGGAACGAGGAACGGGAATGAGTTTCTTTTTTTATAGTAGAACGAAAAACGGGAACGAATTCCATTTAAAAATGAACGTTGTCAACGCACTGCTCTCATCTAACTACGAAAAAAAAAAAAAATCCCCCATTTCAATTTATGTCTATTCGACTGAAATATTTTGTGCTACCGTTTCAGTGAACCGCACTGTATATATTATATTACATACTTTATAGTGTAACTAAAACAGAATATTAAACCTTAACTTTAATGTTCATACGAGACATTTTTATAGGTTTTTTCAAAATTCACGATTCAATACGATCCAATTGCGATTTTCACGAACCGGCGATTTTCTCGATAGGTTTTAAGTGAATTTGACATATTTTTTCTTTCGTTATTCAATCATTTAAATTTTTTTTTTAAATTATTTTAAATTCTTTTTAATTTTATAACAGATTTATGGCGCTTATATTGAATTTACCGTTTATGAGTTATAATAGTTTAGAATTTAGACTGGAGAAGTAAAAAAGCTTAATCAATTGTATATCTACAGTGTGTCCCATCATGTTCAACGAATTTTTCTAGCGCTGTTAATATTCGTTTTTTTTTTTTCAATCAGTTTGTCTTCCAGAGCGACATAGATTTTGAGAAAAATTTAATTTTTGTTTTCATCCTCTAAAGATAAAAAACATAATTATTTTGTTTTTATACACATTAGAAAATGTTTAAAATAACTACTTTGTAAAAAATATTCTTCAACAAATTTTAATGTATCACATATTCAAATCCAATGAATAATTTCTTAGTTATAGCCGTTTTAATTAGGCGTGAAAACGATTAATATTCAAGAAAACACCACGTTATGCAATCAGCACGGAAATTCTTTACCTTTTGTTGAATATTAATTGTTTTCACGCCTATTTTCTAGGAATTTAAACGGCTATAATTAAGAAACTATCAATCGGATATGAATGTATGATTCATTAGAACTTTTAGAATAATTTTCTTTTACAAAATGGCTATTTTGAAAATTTTCTCAAGTGGTTAAATAAAAAGTTTTTTTTTTTATGTTCAGGGGTGGAAAATAAAAATTTTAATTTTTCTCCAAATCGATGTGCCCCACGAAGACAAACCGATTGAAAAAAAAAAAAAAAAAATCGAAAATATTTAATATTAACAACGCTAGAAAAATCCGCCGAACGTGGTGGGACACACTGTATTTTAGATGATATCGATGATTCTTCCCTATACATTTCAAGTCTAAATTTCCGACCGAAATTCCATATCAACACTCTTTTTATCACCAACAGTGGACGAGGACGTGGACGTGGACGAGGACGATAAGGTTAGGACAGACGTAGGTAAGATGGACAATTTCAGGACCATTCGCGGTTGTCCTCTATAATAAACGTGTTCATCATACATTTTT